TGGAATAAATTACGCATTACAAAGCTCGGATGCCCTAAAATTTATTGTTCTGATTATAATTTATTTTTAGGTATACAATTAAATTTATTTTTATATGAAACATATTCACTGGAGTATTTTGAGCGTTAGTAGCTCAGTTATAAAATTTGTTTGGAAAATATTTTCAAGTAATTTTACGCTCTTTAGTATATGTAACATAATATAGATATTTTTCTTGCTTTCTCTTGCTGTCTAGATTTTGAAGGTTAGAAAACGGAATCCGCACGATTCCCTATGATTATTTTGATAATGTGTTGCCAGTAAACATTTAAATATGCTAGGGAGTTGTCCACTACGCTGAATGGATGGGTGTCGTAAGAGACGACAGAAGAAAATTGAAACAGGTGATGGGCAGCAGAATCTTCCTTCGAACTCAAAATAATAATAAACTGCGGTGGACAACCCGCTCGCCAAGCGTGTCAGCTATGGTAAAACCCATCCAAAGGGGGCAATCAATGGGGGAGCCCTATGTTCAACAGTGGACTTTTATAGGCTGTAATGGATTTATCGATGGAATTGTAGTAGTTAAATTATAGTGATGTAATATTTTGGAAAAAAACGAAGAAAAGAAATGTACGACAGACGCCTACCGGTTGCGTGCGAACTTCATACTTCATATTGTAATGTTATTTATAAGAATTTTGTGTGGTCGTTATTTAGTATAAAGCGTGGCAGGTTAAGAGCATTATATGCAATCCCATTTTGTTTTGCTCGCGAAGTATGCGTAAAATAACGTATCACTAGTAATATTATATTATTTTTAACTTATATCTTATTATTTATTATTTTCCCTCAGATGTTTTTGTGATATTTTGAAGCTACTCCAAACGTTTTATTTGGAAAAAAAGTTTAAGTTTTACTCACATTAATGAACATACCTAAGAGCTATTAATTTATACGCACAAGATGATCCAACTTATTTTAACGTCCTACTCAACTAACACCTTCAATTCAAATATAATAATTTATTACTGACCAAAATTCAATCATCTATTTGAAACACTCTGAGAGAAAACTTCTGTGACACGAATATAGTTTCCAAGGTGTTTCGTTTTGCTGTATTTGACAAAAAAACTAAAAATGTATCAATGTCATTATCAAAATTATTCGCAAACGCTAAAAAATGGTATATGTTATATTCCCAACCGTAATCAAAAGATCTCACGCCCTTTACCCAGAGAGGTGAGCAGACACTAGTGACTTACATTTCGCACAATCTTGACACACTTTATGTTGTTCATGGGCGGCGGTAGCCACCATCAGATGCATGCTCGTTTGCCCCCTCTCCTGTCAAAAAAACACTTCCCTGGCTTCTTTCCATCCATATATTTTTATTTATAATATTATGTATGTATTCATTGAATATATAAATATATTATGTATGTTGTACGCATTTTCAAATAACTTGCTTACTCCCTTACGTCCCCCGTCGACCGATAATGGTGGAACCCATATTGTCGGTCGCAAGTTTACTCTGTTTCTTCTTCTGCCAAACCCTTCTCTACTCCGCATTGTGTATTGTCATGCGTGCCTTTTTTGGGTTTCGTACCAAAAGGGTAACCAACGGTAACCTTTTACTAAGCTTTCGCTGTTCACCCGTCCGTCGGTCTGTCTATCACCGGGCTATATCTCATGATCCGCAATAGGTAGAAAGTTGAAATTTTCACAAAATATGTATTTCAGTTGGCGCTATAACAAAATTTAATAAAAAAAATAAAGGGGGCTCTCCTTCTAGTAACGTGTACGACTTTCATTTGGCCGGCTTTTTTAAGTCATTCTGACTTCCCATAATTTACTTTCATAAGTTTCACGCATTTGCATTATAGTTAGAGAAGGAATAGCGTGACGATCCATTATGACAACTTGTGTCTGAAGTCGAGTATTTGCTGGACAAAGTCTCGGATTGGGGGCGACTAAATCTAGTCCAGTGTAATCCTCAGAAGACACAAGTTTGCACGTCTACCGCTAAAAAGAACCCCTTTGTCGTATCTCCTCAGTTTCAAGGAACTCCCCTTCTTGCCTCAACCAGTATCGGAATACTCAGAGTCGACATATCGAGTGACGTGCAGTTTCGTGGTAACTTGGAAGAGAAGGCGAAATTAGTCTCTAAACAGCTTGGCGTGCTCAGCAGAGCAGAACAGTATTTCATGCCTGCAACCTGCAACTTTACTAGGCGCAGGTTCGGCCTCACATGGTATACTTTTCCCATCTCTGGGCAGGGGCTCCCCAGTGCCAGCTACTTCCACTTGACCGCATCCAGCGCAGAGCGGCTCGAAGAGATGTTGCATCCCTTTGCATTTTCTTTCGCATCTACTAAGGGGAGTGCTCTGAGGAATTGTTCGGATTAATCCCAGCCGCCAAATTTCACGAACGCACATCGCGGCAGAACTCCCGATACCATCCACACCATCTGGATGATTGGCGGTCCACCACTGTGCGATTTAGAAGATGTTTTCTTCCTCGCACAACTTCCTTGTGGAATCGATTACCATCAGCGATTTTTCCGGACCGATACGACTTAGGGAGCTCCAAGAAAAGAGCCTACTCCTTTTTAAAAGGCCAGCAACGCATCTGTAATTCCCTCCCAGTTGTGTTGCAGTTGTTCATGGGCGGCGGTAGTCACTTACCATCAGGTGCGCCGCATGCTCGTTTGCCCCCTCTCCTAAAAAAAAGACATCCATACGTTACAGCCTATAAATCCAAAGAGTCCGCATCCGCCGTAGATTGCCTCATAGGGGGGATTTTGCCATAGTTTTCACGCTTTGCAGGCGTGTGCACTACAGTTTTTGTTATTCTGTTCACCTGTTTCAGTTTCCCTCTGATGACTCCTACGACAATCACGGGATGAAATGGAGTAGTGGATGTTTCATACATCGCACATGTACAACTGTAATAAGACATGCAGGAAGTCATTGCATACAGGTGACTCAGAACCGTGGGTCCGGATATTAATTGCAGAAGGCTTCGGTAGACGACTTATCAAAGATGAATGATGGTAATGATTTCCATTAATACTTAGCGAGGTGATGTTTACATAGGTAATCTAATTAATATATTAATTGCAGAGTTAATGTTTTAGTAAGTTCGCTATAAAGTTATGAACTTGGTCAAGTGCCAGTAGCAAGCCAATCTATGTGTGTGTTCGCTGTTCAGTTTGAAACTATAAAGAGCATTCGACAATTATTGGAGTGGAAATTATTCGGTGTAATTTTTACTGCTTTAAGCTCTGAAACTAATTGTCTAATATATACCAACTATGTTAAAAATAATTACCAACTCCCTCTCTCAACGCCACTAATCAAAATCACTACAGTAGTGGAGTAGTGGTGTTGGGATTGGTGGTAACGGGGATAGTGTACGCAATTGAGCGAGGGCCGGAGCTGTTCTTGAAACTAGGTACTCGTAAGACACATCATTTTATTATAGACATCATTTTATTATACAAATAAATAAAATTGAGGTGTCTGTTTGTAAAGTAAAAATTACAGCTTTTTACTAAATGTATATAAAAGTATATACGGTACTTATAACAAACATATAATTTTTTAAATTTTTGTCTGTCTGTCTGTCTATCTGTTTATTCCGGCTAATCTCAGAAACGACTGGACCGATTGTGACGGAACTTCCACTGGCAGATAAGTAACTTGAACTTCCACTGTCATGAGAAGTAACTTAGCCTATTTTTATATTAGAAAAATAGTTAGCGTTCCTTGCAAAAAAATTAAAACCTTAAATTACATGCGATCGAAGTCGCGGGGAACAGCTATTCTTTAATATATTAGAATTCTTTCTGATAGATTAGCCAGATTCTATTCACTTAATAACTGTCTGATTTCGACAAATATTCTACGTCGGATCTATAGTGCATTTGTTAATTTTTATGTCTCTAACTGTTTTCATTCATATAAAAATCGAGATATTGCATGCCTTAAACCCGAAGCGCGCAGGTATGTTCTGCTAAAGCCTAAAAATTAAGATTAGCAATCATATTATACATACAAATGATATGAAATGTACATTGTCAGAAAGACAAATGATTGTTGAACTTATTAATATTTTTTTAATCGAATAATTGCTATTTTTACCTAAAAAGGTGTTTCAGTGGCTAATGGTGTGGATTTATCAAGTCCGCATGGCGGTGTAAACATGATAACTTTTGAAAATATCAATTGTTTAACTCAACCTATTTTTTAATATCTTCATCTATCAAGTTTAATTTTGTATCGTTTAGTTATAGTTAATTTATTTCGGCTGCAAAATATCGAATATTTCGGCGTTTTGGCAGCCTTGTATTAATTTATTTTACTAAATAGACTGCCTCACTCCCTCCCTTCGGCGTCAAATGCCGTCGTGGATACTGTATTGGTTGTTTGCAGCGGCTCAAAAAGATCGCTGTACAAATACAAAATGTTAGAAAAACTAAATTTCATACATACTTGATTATTATAGTAATCAGAGATTTTAATGACAATATTTTAAAAGCACACAATAAATAAAAACAGTACATACTAAAAGCAAGTAGGACGTGTATAAAATAAATAAATAAGCCTTTTATTATTTCTCATTCTTCATGCAGTTTTACAATTGATATTTTATGTTTACATGCAACAATAATAAATAAATCATAACAAATTAAAAAAAAATCACATTATTAGCTTCATAATTAATTTAAATTTGTAATTTATAATGTTTAATATGCTTAAATTTATTTTTCAATTTATAATTTGATAAGTAAATATAAAAATTTCAATTTTAAAAATTATATTATAGTTTCAGTTATTTAATGAGAACCCCTCTTTTGCAGGGTAAAGGCCTCCTCCATTTTTGACCATTGTTTTCTATCTTTCGCCTTTGTTTGCCAATCATCTCCTGCTATATCTTTGATATCGTCAATCCATCTTCTACATGGCCTCCCTCGTTTTCTTTTACCCTTCGGCCCTTTCCATACAAGGACACGACACGTCCACCGAGCGTCCTCTACTCTAGCTAGATGTCCTGCCCATTTCCATTTCGATTTCATCGATTGGCTTAAGAAATCAATTTGTTTTGTTCTCTCTCTTATCTTGGTGTGGCGTACTTTATCTCTCCTTCGGAGTCCCAGGATGGATCGTTCCATAGCTGCTTGACATTTTCTGATTTTTTCTTTCGCCTGTTTTGTATATGTCCATGTTTGCGAACCATACGTTAGGCAGGGAAGGATGCAACTATTCATTATTTTCTTTTTCGTAGAAAGCGGCAGGTCTCCTTTCATTATTTCCTTGTGAGCCCAGTACTTTTTCCATGAAATATTTATTCTTCTAATTATTTCTTTTATGTTATTATTCTGGTGAAATGATACTTGTTTTCCAAGGTAGATATAGGTGTCTACATATTCAAGCTTTTCGTTTCCTATCTTTATTGTTGGTTTTGTAGAATTGGTCATCAGTTTAGTTTTCTGCAGGTTCATTTGTAGGCCTACGCGAGCGCTTTCTGTCTGTAAATTTTGTATCATTTGCTCTAATTGCGAACTCGATTCTGAGAATAATACTATGTCGTCAGCGAAACGTAAATGACTGAGATAATTCTTATTTATCGTAATACCAACATTTTTCCAGGGAAGTTTTTTAAATATCATCTCTAGTACGGCGATGAAGAGCTTAGGGGATAAAGGGTCGCCTTGTTTTACGCCTCTTTTTATTTTTATATCTGGGCCGCTTGTTTCCAGGGTAATTCTACTTGTGCTTCTTTCATAGATGTTTTTTATTATATTACAATAGGTGTCTTCTATGTTGTTCGCCTTCAGCGCCTATAGGCCAGATAGGCTTTTGAAATTCCTTATATTTCTCAATTATGTTCTCCAGAGCTTGAATATGATGTACAGTTGAATATCCTCTTCGAAAACCCGCTTGCTCTATCGGTTGGTTTCTGTCAATTTTTGCAGATATTCGACTTAAAATACACTGTGAGAAAAGTTTGTAAAGACTAGGTAGTAAGCTGATGGGTCGATAATTTCCAATATCCTTTGGATCGCCTTTCTTATAGAGTAATACAATATTTGATTTGGTCCATTGCTCGGGAACTCTCTGCTCTTTATTTATAATATTGAATAAATAGGTTATCACAGGTGTTAGTAGTGTCCTTGCCAGCTTTAGTGCCTCGTTGGGGATACCGTCTGGTCCTGGGCTCTTGTCTGATTTTAGCCTCTTTATTTCTTTATCTATTTCGGTATCATTCCAATCAATATTCGTTTGATTTTGAGAGTAGAAATTTATAGTTTCAAAATTCCCAAGGTCTTTTTGGTCGTAGAGGTTTTGATAGAACTTTGTTGCTATTTTGAGAATGTTTTCTCTATTATTTGATGGACTAGAGTTTTCTAATAGGCTGGGTATCCAAGTTTTGTGTGAGCGAAGTTCTTTGTACGCACGTTTGCAACTTCCACTAGTCATTACATACTCTTCTATTGTCTTTAATCTATGTCTCTTGTAGTCTTTCCTGATATTTTTGTTTGTTATTTTATAGATATAGCTGAGTTTTATTTTGTCTTCGCGGCTTTTATGTTTGAGATTTTGTAGTTTGTGGCGTTGTTTAATAAGACTTAATGTCTCCTCGGTAAGAATATTGTATAGTTTCCGTTTCTCTACTTGTTTGTCAGTTTTCATGCTTTCTAATAGACAGTTTTCTAGATTATTGTATAAGGTTTGAACCGTGTATGTTTCTTCCAGTTGTATGGATTTCAAGTGTTTCTCTAGTTTCTCTAGGTAATCATTTGTTACACTTTGGTTTTTCAGTGTGCAAATAGGAGTTTTGAATTTTAAACGGCTCTTTTTCATTGATTTGACAGTTATTTTTGATCTAACCATTCTGTGGTCTGATGGGAACATAATATTATTTAAAACATGCACATCCTGGAATCGGTTGGGAAAATTTGTGAGTATATAATCTATTTCATTCATAGTTGTTTGGTCAGGAGACTTCCACGTCCACTTTTGACTGCTCTTTTTCCTGAAAAAAAGTGTTCATAATGGATAGGTTATATTCTTGTGCGTAATGTATTAACTGTTGACCTCTAGGGCTTCTGTTTCCAAATCCATACTTTCCAAGATGTTTGCTTTCTTCAGAGTTCCTCTTCCCCACTTTCGCGTTAAAGTCGCCCATAACTATAATATACTTTCTTGATGCTTCATGGGCTCTATGTAGAGTGTTATAGAAGGTTTCGATTTCTGACTCTTCAGACTCCTCAGTAGGTGCATAAACTTGAATAATAGTGATTGGTAGGTCATTTAAATCGACATCCAGAAGTACCACTCGATCAGAAAAACCCCTAAAGCTTTTAATGCAGGTTTTTAGGTGTTTTTTTATAATAAATCCGACTCCATATCTTCCCTTTATCTGTCCATTGTAGCATAATATGAAATCGTCGTATTCGTCCACTCCATAGCCCAATCTTCTCATTTCTGACAGTCCAATGATATCATATTTAATATTCTGAAGCGCGTTCGTGAGTTCGATGAGCTTGTCCGGGCTTGCCAGCGTTCTTACATTGTATGTGCCAATGTAGAGGTTGTGTTTATTTTTCGTAGTGTTTACAGTGTTGTTTTGTATTTTTGGAGGGTTGTAGTCAAGAGAAAAATCTCTTCCATTTTTCTCCCCCGCGGTGACTAACCGTATTGGGTTTTGAGATGGTAGAGGGGCCTCACTAAACTGTTAGAAACTAGATGTAGGAGCTTCATTTTTTGTGGATTTCTTGGAGTCTTCTCTTTGTCTCATAAAAGCAGTAATTTTATTTTTCTTCAAAGCTTGGCTTTCATGGCTTGTTCCATTTTGGTTTGGAGAAGTATGCAAAATTCTTTTCTTTGCTTGTTGCTGAGAGTTCTGGTTTTTACCGGATTTATTTGCGGTCAAAATTATTAATTTATCGTATTTAATTATTTCTTTTAATCCTTCTGCTTTGCATTTTATTAATTCCGTTTGTAGTTGTTTCCTTTTCTCTAAAATTTTTTGTGGGTAATCTTCTTTGTAATATATTGTGCTATTTTTAATGTTTTTCTTATTTTGTAGTAACATTATTTTTTTACCCATAGTTGTGAAGGTGACTGTAATCGGTCTAGGTACTTTTTTTTTTTCCTAATCGTTTTGCTGATTCGATTTCGTTTCGTTCACAAGGAATATTAATTTTATTAATGAATGATAGAATTTTATTTTCTAGTTCATGGTATGATTTTTCTCCTTCCTCGATTCCGAAAAATACCAAGTTTCTCTTCCTGATATATCTCTCCATATGATCCAATATTTTTTCATGATTTTGTATTTTTTCGTTTAATTGATTATAGTTCTGTTCCATTTTTTTGAAATTCTCGCTTATGTTTTTGTTTATGCTGATCGTAATATTTGTTTCCATTTCCTTCATGTCTCTTTTTTGTGCTGCTAGATCAATTTGTATTGATTTCAAAATTTTTGTTAAGTCTTCCATGTTTTCGCTATAGATGTCGCTAGTGAATATAAGATTTAAGAGATAGCGGAGAGTTAAGCTGCTATGAATCAACAATAATGGTTCGTACCTTGGTTTTAGGTGCTTGGCTTACTCGACCATAGATGGCGTTGATTTTTTATATACGTCTATACACTTTTGTTGGATGACTAAGTTGGTTATCTAATTAGTTTCAGAAGTTAGGTTATGTCGGCACTGATTTCTTCTTTTCTTATTGTTTTGTGATTAATTTTGTACTTCTTCTTATTTATTTTTTACACTCTTATCACAAGGTTGTGGTATATTTGTTGTTTGTCACTGGTATTTCGCACTTTTATACTGTTTGCTGGTTGTACAATTTATTTTATTTACTCTAATAATTTGTTAAGTTTCGCTAGTTCACTTGTATTCACAGCAATTTACAACACACGTCTTCTAATTTTAAATGTTTTTAAGTCTTGATAGCACACTTAACTATTTTATTTTAGATTTTATTTTACTTTATGTTGGAGTTTGCAAAAACAGCTGTTGACATCGCAGCGGTGGCCCCATCTACCTCTAGGACGTGTATATTTATACTTAAATACGTCTTGGACTTTATGGAGTGACCTGAATGATGATATGATGATCATATGAGCATTATGAGTCGTGCACTTTCGGATTTTCCAAACTTTTTTTTAAATTGAAGTTTGACATCAAATTAATGGAAAATTGGAAGAATAAGAGGGTTATTAGTGAAAACTTGTGTGTATTTAAACATCTTTAAAATTTCCATACAATCATGTTATACGTATTTTTTTTAATACGCTTAGGGCATGCGCAATTGGATTTACCAATAGTTTTATTTGTATATACACAAATTTGTAAGTGTATGGAAAATGTAGAAAGACAATATAATTTATTAAAACTTTGATACTTAATTAAATATATACCAAATGTTCTTCATCCCTTATCTCTTAAAATAATGTATTATTAAACTATGTAATATATTTTAATTATTTACCTTTTGAACTCAAAACACGTTACAGAAAATCAAACTTATAAAAATTATAATATCAAGTTTTAATCGAACTCTTATTCTATCCAAATCTTTAACAACCGCGTTAGGTCCTAGACCTGTGTATTTTATTTTATAGAATAAGTCTGTCAAACGGGCACACAATCCACCTGTTGGTAAATGGATGGTGTGGTGTGGCCCATAGACATCTACATTTATCCTCGATTAAGAATCAAAATGCAGATGCGTTGTCACCCCAAAGGATTAGTCCTTTGGGGTGACAACGCTTGCAAATTGTTAGCAATTAATGGCACGTTTGCAGTAAAAAGTTCTCTGGTTCTCAACACTCACCATAAGAAACACAGCAGCATTGAGCTACTAATTTACGCTGGTATTCTATGCAAGCGTGGTCCTAGTCTGCTCTAGCCGACACATAATATGACAAGTACAACTCCGACAAATCGTTCAATGATAGTATTAATGCAGCAACGCAAGAACGATAATGTTATAGACATTTATTATTAAACATACTTTTATTATTTTTCAATTATTAAAGCTAACTAGCTGGTACCCGGCGCGTTGCAGCCTCAAAAGGAATAATTGTGGAAATATATAATAGTAGTATAGTAAGAGTAGTATATATATACAATAGTGTAGTCTAATTAGGAATGATAATATATTTATTTAAATTGAATGATATTATTATATATACTTCAAATAAATATGTCGGTGCGCAACGCGCGCCACCTACTGTAAGTTAGTTTTACTATGCCTATAATCTTCGCGGAAGTGCAAGAATTAAGTTGAAAAAGTTTTACCAGTATCTGATGAACGGTATGGCAGTGCATAAAATACGAACAAACAAAAACCTATTTTTATATATTAGATGGACAAGCACCGTCGCATTTGAAGACGTTTTTAAGCTACTGGACTGGAAAGGATACGGTACTAACATCAATGGTGAATGCATCACTCGTCTTCGATTTGCCGACGATATAGTCCTTATGGCAGAATCGCTGAAGGACCTAAGTACTATGCTCAACGACCTCAAAAGTGTCTACCAACGGATAGGTCTTAAGATGAACATGGACAAAACAAAGATCATGTTTAATGTCCATGTCACACCTATGCCGGTAGTAGTTGGGAGCACTAAGCTCAAAGTTGTTAACGAATATGTTTACCTGGGACAAATAGTCCGACTAGGTAAGTCCAACTTCGACCAAGAGATGGATCGATGGATTCAACTCTGCTGGGCAGCGTTCGGGAAATTACGACACATCTCGTCAGGTATACCTCACAACCTGATAACGAGATTGTACGACCAGTGTTGCCCGTTACGACTTATGGATTTGAGACGTTATCCTTCACTGCTGGCCGTATGAGGAAAATCAAGGTCGCTCAGCGAGCTATGAAGAGGACTATGCTCGGAATTTTTCTGTGTGATAAACTTATAAATGAGGATAGCCGCAGTAGAACTAGTGTAACCGACATGGTCCAACGGATTAGTAAGCTGAAGTGTTAATGGGCCGGCATTATAGCTCGAAGAACCGACAACCGTTGGGAAAAAAATTACTCGAGTGGCAGTCTCGTACCGGTAGGCGAAGTGTAGGGTGACCCCGCACTAGATGGAGTGACGACCTGGTAAGATATGCAGGAAGTCGATGGATGCAGGTGGCTGAGGTGAACCGTGCTTAGCGGCATTCCTTGGAGGAGGCCTATGTTCATCAGTGGATTGAAGGGCTGTAATGATGATGATGATGATGATTTTAGATGTTGCAGTGCTGCACAATGCTGTTATGTTTCGTATGGTGAGTGTAGAGAACCGGAGAACCTTTTTACTGGAAACGAGGCAATCCATCTTAGACCTCAGAGGTGACAACGCATCTTTAGTTGGATTCTTAATCGAAGATAAATGTAGATTATCTATGAGCCACAGAATCCACTTACCTTCGGGTGAACTGTGTGGTAATTTTATCCCTTATTCTGTAAAAAAATATTCTAGATTCCAAATATAAATAATTGAAACGTATTAGCTCCAATAATAATATATTTCTATAAATATATATACATGTGTTGTTTTAGTATTAAATAACTCCACCCCACTTTGACCGCAACAGAGACATACCTAGTCAATAGAGTCAGGGTATACCTAGTGAATACAATAGAGTCATACAATAGAGTATATAAAGTTGAATATAAAACAGAGGGTAACTTATTTTTTTAACTAAACGTCAAGGTGGCCTAAAAGCATTTCAAAATCATGATAAAATCGCTTATAAAATCTCAAGGTTATGCGACAAAAATAATGTCAAGTCTAGTTTACTTAGGTATACAATTTCAGTAATATAATTGGAATTTTGAATTTT